AGATTGTATTCAGTATCTTCCCATGGTATTAAGAGGTCTTCAGGGGAGATGTCCACCTTCTCTGCCACCATTCCTGTCCCTGTGCACCAGGGTCTCCTGCCCCCTGCATTCTTTTTCCCCTGGACATTTGGTGTGCCTGCAGACTTAGCTAAAACATATTTAGTTTCAGGGGCCAGAGAACAGCTCAAAGCAGATTAGGTGAAAGATGCCCAGGTTCCAGTTATCTGCAGGAGTCTCACCTTAAACTCAGGACACGGAGATTCAGACGGCAGGATTTAAACTATTTCTCCACCTTTTCGGTATCTTCTGAGTTGGCATCACCATGAGGGAGAGGTTGGTTGTTTTTTTTTTATTATTTTATTTTATTTTTGGACAAACTACAGCGAGGTATATGTTGCCCTTCAGCTTGTTAGCACAGGGAAGAGGACCCATCTGAGTGCCCCTTGAAAGATGCTGGTTGAATGCCATAATCACCATATTTGACCCCAATCATGTGTGCCAACAATGCAAGAAAGAGTAGTATAAAGGTCTCCTAGAGGTGGAAGTGGCAATTTCCAAAGGGGAAAAATTGCAGTGGGAGGAAGAAACCAAGCAAACAAATCAAGTCTTATTCCTGTTTGAGATCGTAACTCAGTACACCTTAATGCTTTTAATCAAGGCCCTTGGTAACTGTGAGTTTCTATTTCTTGAAAAGAGAGTTCAAGCAGAGGCTCTGTGCCAAGTGGCTGTGGTAGTAGGAAGGCGCTATCTCCCCAGCCAAGGAAAGCTCTGCTAGGCTTGATCAACTTTTATGAGGAACAAAATGTTCTATGCGGTTGGCCATGGGGATGAGCCTGAAGGATCTTGTTAGGGATGGGTAGACACAGTGAGCCAAGGTGAAGAACTGTACTGAACCTTTTAAGGTGTCTTGATTGCTGTGGTTGTTATCTAACACCAAGGGCAGCTCCTTCACACACCTGCTGCACGCTGTCCCATCCCCCGCCCTCCACATCGAAAAGGCAGGGAAGTCGTTCCTGCATGCTCACTGCATGCTTACATCATTCCCTGTCTTCCCCGAAGGTTCTCGCCTGCTTTTAGCACCGTGTTGCTGTCAGGGGATTTCAAATCTTTTTCTGCTTCTATGAGAAATATCAGTGAATGGAGAGGAGCCTCTAGTAGATAATGAAGATGATGAGAGCTTGTTGCTGGGCGTTCGCTGCCAAGGAGATGGAAGAAAGCATTTAATTACTTAGAGATGGTTTAAAGCATGCTGTGTAGCCTGGCTTGGTGCTTTTGAAATCTCAGCTAGTGTGGGGTTTGCCTCCAAGAATTTTTATTTTGCCCCCTGTGTTTAGGGGGTCTGATGATAAATGCAAAAAGGTCACTAATGCAAGGCATCTGAAAATTTCTTTTCCCGTTTTAATCGTTTGTCTTGGTGACTTCGAGGCTTCCACGGAGAGCTGCACTTACCACTTGTCAATCACATTGAATTTGCTAAAAAATCTGAGCCACATAATGGGCAGAGCATTATGTCACTGGATAGTGGGGCTTCACCCGGGAGATAATTTTCATTTATCTTCCAAACAAGCAAACAAAACTCAGCCTTTCTATTTCTCAAAGTGTACCGCCTTAAAGACACAGTGACATGTTCCTGGTTTTTCTATGTGCACACGCTCCTCTGAGATGAACCTTTCTAGCTCAGGTTCGCAGAATCCACCACTTTGGCATGAGGGTTACTTTGAGCTAAAACACTTGAAAAACAGCAGATACGAGAAGGGCAGCCTCAGCTCCTCTCCTCCTTAAAACAGGAGATTAAAAATGTCCAAGGGCAGGGTGCCTATGCACAGAGAGAAAAGAAACATTACTGGGTCATGGCCAAGAAATCTCTGGACAGCCTTTGCTAACTACATTCCTTTAGCCTGCCTACAGAATTGAGTTACATTTCCACAATTATTGCTCTTTGTTCAAATACAAAAACATCCAGGTCTTGCCACTTCTTTGAAACTTTGTTTCATTAAAAAAGCAATGGTGTCCCATAACACTTTGATTAAAGGTGTGTGTGCTTTCGTCTAATTAATGGGTCTTAAGGTTTGTGGGTATAGCTCAGTGGTAGGACATTTGCCTAATGTATGTGACGCCCCAGATTTGACCCCCAGGATTACAAAAATCAAATTAAATTAAAATCCTATCTCATGAATTTAATTCTGTGGTCCGACAAGGATCCTAAGAGATTAAGATTTCTCATCTTTTACACATGCACAACTTTGTAGCATCCTCAAAATTATCATTCGCATAACCCCTCTGGAAGGAAATGAACGGTAAGTAAACACCCTGCTAGATCCTGTGCTAGGGACTTAGCAAACACAGCTCAGCTAATTCCTTGAATCCAGGATTAATGGTATCATATTGTTGGTCTGGAAGGTGAGATTTGGAGTGTCAGTAGCTTTTTCAAGTGTGTAGTCTGAATTCCCTGATGCCAAAGCTTTATTTCTCCAACGTCACGGTGTCGACACTTTGCACATTCGCTTCTCTGTGAGTGAAAGTAATCAAATGCATCACAGGGTTGTTGTGGGACTAAAGAAGCAGTATTTGCACTTACCTTTGTTTGTTTGTTTGTTTCTTGGTTTTTCGAGACAGGCTTTCTCTGTAGCTTTGGAGCCTATTCTGGAACTAGCTCTTGTAGACCAGGCTGGCCTCGAACTCACAAAGACCCGCTTCCCTTCGTTGGGATTAAAGGCTGTGCGCACCATCTCCCAGCTCCAGTTACCTTTGTAAAGGCATTAGCTGCTGGCATTTACCATTATCGGTATTATTACTGTCATAGCTTCTGCCCAAGCCTCCACGGCCTTCAAGGCCTATTTGAGGTGGACTTTCTAATCTCCACTTTAGTAACCTTGTTCCATGTCCATGTTTTCTCACTGCCTTTCTGTACAGTATGAAGAAAGGTGTTTTAAGACTGAAAACTTGTGTCTTTCTTCATGTGTTTTGAATCATGATCATCTGTTGTCTGTGTGGGAGTGCTGTTAAAAGATGCTGAAGTTTCTAGTCCTGGGTGCTAGCCTGACTGCTGAAGCTCCGTGGTGCTTTGTGAAGAAATTAACACGGAAAATATCGGCAAGCAGCCTGATTGCTGACAACAGTTCCCATCCTATTTCCCACTTCTCCCTTATCTCTTGGCTGCTGGAATTATTTGGCTTAAGGCACAACAGATCCTGCTGGAAGGACCTTTTGCAGAATTTTAGATTGCAGGAGGCTACTATGAACTTAAATACAGATTTCAATTTGCATGAGAAGTGAAGCAAATGAATGACTCACTATAAACAAAAGAGAAAGTCACGGTGTGATGCTTTATTTAGTTGAGCTTAATCCATTTTTGTGTAGCTGTAAAATAATACCGTAGAGTGAATAATTTGGAAACAGCAGGGTTGTATTTCAGTCATGGCTCTGGAGGTTGGGAGATCAAGGGCAGGTAGCCACATCTGTTGAGGGTCACTATATCATGAGATGGCGAGAGACTACAATGGCAAAATAGACTCACTCTTGGCCCATTACAGAGAATATGGCATTCATTCACCCAATAAGCAACTGTGCTGTTACATTGGGGATTGCATTTCCAACATGTGAGCTTCAGAGGACACATTCTGACTATGGCAGCCTCTGAAACTGACACCCATGCCTGATAATGTCTTGTTGGATCCTGTGTGGAACAGAAAGTTCCTGCTCACAGCTCACTAGGTTTCCGAATACTTGCATCACAATATGGAATGGAATTTTATATTTGCCTTGCAGGTCCCATTATCATTCTGCATTTTCATATTGAATTATAAACAAAAATTTTATGCTGCTTACATTTAATGAAATTTTAATAAGACCATGTTTTGATGTTATTATTCAGATAATGTGATCCAAATTGGTTTCCTCTGAATATATTTGCATTAAAGAGGAAATCAATTTGAGTTCGTTCTTTGAACAGTTTTACCTATTTTCTTTGTAGCTTTAAAAAAGACAGGAAAGCTCAGTTTCCTTGTCGGTAAATGGAGAAGAAACACATTTGCTAAGATCTGTAGCAGCAATGGCAACAGACTGCTGATGGTTTGAGTTAATGAAATGGCTCATTTTGTCTATTAGAGTTGCGCAATTTAAACCATCTACAAACCGCACACATTGCAAATTGTAAGGGATGCTAGCTCTTCTCTCTTATTACGACTTTAAAGCTTATGTATTAAGAAAGAAAATCAAGAGATCCACATTATCGCTACTCCCAATCACTGGTAACATAAATTAAATGATATCCTCTGGAGAGAGCAAGTGTCTCCCGGGGTAGCATTCCTCTAACATCACGTTTCTGCTAAAATTATGGATAGATGTCCAAGGCAGTTTTCTCAAACACGTCTTCCAGAAGGTCAGCTCACATACCAAGATAAAACACATTTTTGGCAATTCTTCTATGTATTTTCTCATACTCATATGGGTGAAGTTTAATGAAGAGAATTGAGTCTGGAAATAGTGGGAGAAATGTTAGTTTAGAGAATTATTTCCCTACAGACCTACTCCAAGGGATTGCACAGAAAGTAACAGGCCTGGGGGTATGACTGTGCTTAGGAAAGGCACGCAAACGGAGTCCTCTGGGTCTTTCATATCCTCATTTGGTACACAAATGAACGGTTTTATTTTATTTCCCAGGTCTTTCTCTAAACTTCATTTAACTCCTCCCCACAGTACCCCACACATTTATCCTTTGTGCTCCATATACAAATTTCTAATTTAAAAACTATGAAGCGCGCCTAAACCGGTGTGCCCTAGAATCCAGCCGTACACTTGCCGAGGAGTTTGGTTCTTGTTTTCTATTTATATGATTTCATAAACACCATTCGATACTCATTAAAACCGGGGGATGGAGAGCCAAGGCCAAGACCTTCCGCACGCGCGGTAGTCGTCCGGATGCTCCGCCCCCCTCAGGCCGACTCCTGGTCGCACCGCTCCGCCTCCGGCACGCAGCGCGCAGGCGACCTGACGTCACGCGTGCGCCGCTCTTCCGCCCTGAACCTTAACGGGCGCGCTGCGCACAGGCTTCTGGCCGTTCCTGCGAGGTGGACGCGGTCAGCTCTCCCCGGTCCGGTGACATGTTGCAGAAGCCCAGGGGCCGCGGCCGGCCCAGCACGCAGACCGATAGGGAGCGGGAGTGGGAAGACGCTGGCGAGGAGGCTCCCAGCACGTCCCGCGGTACGGGCGGCTCGTCCCAGGGCTCCCGCGCCTCCCTGCAGCGCACCCAGAAGCAGCTGGATCTGAAGGTGGCTGACCTGGTGCAGTTTCTGCTGATCAAGGACCAGAAGAAGATCCCCATCAAGCGCGCCGACATCTTGAAGCACGTGATGGGTGACTACCGGGACGTGTACCCCCACATGTTGAATCTGGCCGCCGAGCGCCTCCAATACGTGTTCGGGTACAAGCTGGTGGAGCTGGAGCCCAAGAGCCACACCTACATCCTCATCAACACGCTGGAGCCGGTGGAGGAGGACGCCGAAGTGAGGGGCGACCAGGGCACACCCACCACGGGCCTGCTCATGATAGTCTTGGGGCTCATCTTCATGAAAGGTAACACCATCACGGAGACCGAGGTCTGGGACTTTCTGCGGCGACTCGGGGTGTACCCCACTAAGAAGCATTTAATTTTTGGTGACCCAAAGAAACTCATTACTGAAGACTTCGTGCGGCAGCGTTACCTGGAGTACCGGAGGATCCCCCACACCGATCCTGTGGACTATGAGCTTCAGTGGGGCCCGCGAACCAACCTGGAAACCAGCAAGATGAAAGTTCTTAAGTTCGTGGCCAAAGTCCATAATCAGGACCCCAAAGACTGGCCCACACAATACTGCGAGGCCTTGGCGGATGAGGAGAATAGGGCCAGACCTGCAGCTAGTGCTCCAACCACTCCTCCTGAACTCTTGAGGTGCAGTCTGAGGAACTCCCGAAACCCAGGAGAAAAGAACAGGGCAAAGGGGTTGGAGGAAGCTTGATTCTGCAGAGTGTAAATATCATGTAGCCTTAGGATGTTGTGCAGGGTTTTGATGTTTTATTATGGTTTGGGGCTTTAATCTTTCATTGCCGAAGAGATGGGAAAAATCTTTCTTGTCTGTTGTTTAAAGCGTTTTCTAGCTTTCTAAACGTAACTGGGAAATTTTATGACGTCAAACATAGAAGTTGAACACTTAGGTAAATTGCTTCGATGCTTTCCTAGAAGATAAGGCAGCAAAGTAGCTATTATCTCTTATTATTCTAGTTCATGGGTGGGAGGGAGAGTCTTTTTGAAATTGCAAATAGAAATACAGTTGGTTTTGCCTCATGTCTACAAAACTTTAAAAATACATATTTTGTATGGATATGAGCACTGTCTTTGGTTCCAAACAACCTATCTGATGTGTTCTCTGATATTTTTATATTCATAATTATTACTGTTACCCAATGGATGCCATTTAAGGTTTTTTTTCTGTTTATAATAAATACTGTGCTTTTGAGTCAGTTCATCATCATTTTTGTTGTTTCTCTGTTAGAAATTGTGACTCTTAAGGAAGTGTCTGATTCTGAACGTTATTGACCGCGATTCTAAGGTCAACGGTTGCAGAAGTGCATGAGTGTGTATATTGGAGCAAGTTGTAGGTCTCGGGTTTATAAAACATTGTCACAGTGACTAACCAGGCCTGTTGGGAATCACACTGCCAGTGTGCAAATCCCAGTCCCACCCCAAGGATTTAGCTTGTGTATCTATGGAATGGGCCAAATCCCATATCGAGTATGCCATTGTCGTGAATAGATATGGAAGTTAGTGTAAACCTCAGCAAAGGGCCTGTGTGAATTGAGTCACTTTATACTCTATTTTTACTCCTGATTTTGAGCTTCTTTTTGTTCTTCAGGTCATGCTGGGTCACTCCTAGAAGAACGGTCACAAGTTCTGGGGCTCGGAAGTTCTTCCCATTTTCTTTAGCATATTTGAATCGTTCTTTTTAGAGCTCATTGTGATGTCTGGTGAGGGCAGCCCAGACAGGCCAGTGTGAACAGGACAACCACCAGATCCCCTGGGCTTTGCGAGTTGTGGCACAGCACAGTGACAGGATGGAATTGGAGGTCATCTGACCTACTCAGTTTGAATTAAAGGTCAGGCTGGTTCCCTGGGGTGAGTTTTGAAGTCTCGTCTCAACTGGAGAAAACAATTCTATGTTGCTATAGATGAGCCAGAAGAGACAGGCCACTTGGAGTTCTTAATAGATTTCAGCCAAACACTAGACACGTGCAGTGAGCACAGTTGTTCTGAGGAGAGTTGGTCTAGGTTCTTCATCAAAGGAGGCAGATACTTTCCAAGGGCACAGGGGAGGGCAGGTGACTTTCATCACCCTTGAACTGGAGGTTAATTTGTGGTAGTTAAGAGGTGTGGAGGAGTGAGAAGGGCTCCCGAGAGTTGATCTGTGTTGGCAATAGTGTCCTAGTTTGCTTTCTACTGCTGTGGTGGATACTGTGACCTCGGCAGCTTGGGGAGGGACGTTTATTCCATCGCTGTAGTCCATCACTGAGGGGAATTTGCGGGGACCTGGAGGCCAGAATTGCTCACTGGCTTGCTCAGCCTGCTTATACAGCTCAGAACCACCTGCCTGTGGATAGCATTGCCCCCAGAGAGCTGGGCCTTCCCAAGTCAATCAGTAATCAAGAAAATGCCCCACAGGCCAATCTGATGGCAGCGTTTTCTCCACTGAGGGTCCCTCTTCCCAGATGGCCCTGGCTTATGTCAAATTGACAAAAGCAGTGTGAGCAGATTAAAGATTTTAAAACAGGGTTTAGGTTTTTCCTTAAGTCCCTCTTTTCTTGATAAGCATTTTATGTCAGCGTATGAATTACCTCTGCCTAATGGCCCCCTGACCTTTCTGAGTCAGCTTTTAGGTGTGTTGTGCGTATGTTGTCATCTGTACCCATAGTCACGGGTAAAAACTGTCATAAAATCATGGTATCCCAGTTTTCTGAGATCTTCACAGTTGACTGATTGGTTTACTCCAGATGCGGTGCTACGTGAGAGGGTAGATAAGCTCTTACATCTTTTCTTTCTTACCAGATTCCCGGGGTGCATAGCAAGCCATTATATGTTTTTATAACTTGTGCGTGCATTTTCATGAGAATACATGGTTTCTTTTTGTGGACTTTCACAGCTTATGTAAGTGTCCTGTGTCCTTGATCACAGCTGTTTTCAACTGTTTTTGGAGTTTATCAGGGTAGATGCATGATCTGATTCATTCGTGTTTATTTCCCTTTCATGGTGTGCTACCTCAGGAATCCAAGCCAGAAGCTAACAATTACCAGTGATATTTACCAAATGGCTCTCGGGTAAATATCAAGCATCTAGACAGTTTTTATTTTGTCTTTGCCAGTCATCCCACAGTCTGAAGCCCTTGTGAGCACTCGGCCTTCACAGCCCTGTAGTGGGTCTGTCATTTATACCTCACTGTGATGCTAGCTTCCGCCCCCCTGTTACTCTCCAATCTGAGCATCAGATTGTAAACATCAAGTGTTCTTTCTGTGCATGATTTTCAGGAGATTTTTGTAGCCTTAGCATATCAGTTCAATGCTGAATCCAGTTGCCAATACCATCTGGGTTTTTGTTTTGCCATACATATCTGGCTTTAATGTGTCTTAATTGTTAGCATTGTAATCCCTGTATTTTGTACTATGCTTTGTAAAGTTCTCGCTAATCTTAATTATGAAGGTATTTTTTTTTATTTTTGAGAATTTGATACGTGAGTGCTATATTGACATCATTTCTACCCCTCCCCATGCCCACTCCAATTCCTCCTACCCCCCCCCACACTGTTTATGTAAGTGCAGCCTGCTGAGAACATTAGACTGACCAATCGGATTAGATAATCAATTTGGGACTTCATCCCTGAAGGAAATTAATTCTCCCTCTCTTCGCCATCATTTAATATCCTGCAGTTCTTCATCTAGGAGTGAGGCCTGTGAGTTTCCCCCATCTGCACTGGTGTACCAACTGGTATTGTCATGTTGGGGACTTGTTTAGGCAGTCATGTTGTTAAGATTTCATGGGTGCAGCCTCCTCGTCATGCATAGAGGAACCATCTCAGGGCAGACATCCTGGTCCCCTGGCTTTTGCACTCTTTCTGCCCCCTCTTCTGTGCTGTCCCCTGAGGCCTGGGTGTAGTGGCTGTGTTGTAGATGTGTCGATAGAGGTTGAGCACCCAGTGTTGAGCTATTCTCTGCGTTCTGATCCGCTGTAGATTCCTGTGGTCTCCACCTGGTGCCAAAAGAAACGGCGTTGATGAGGGCTGAGGGCTGCGCTTATCTGTGTGCTGAGGATAAGGGTTTAGAATGCAGTCAGGAACTATGGTGATTTAAGAAAGGAGCAGGAGTAATTCTTGCCTGGGGTTCTCGTCTTCACCAGCCAGAAGTTGTTGGCTGGCTTTATAGTATCAAGTATGGCTTCGCTCTTATCCTACTGGGTTCAATTATCTTATTAAGTTCAATTAGACACCTCTTAGTTATCCTCAAGATAGTGACTGCCACGATTGCACCCTTGGGGGTATCTTGCTATGCTGGGAATTAATCTGGTTCATAGGTTTTACAGTTGGATGGGTTATTTACTGCTTTTCTCCCTTGGCTGTTCTCATAGCTCCTTTCGGTCCTGTGGACACTAGTCTTCATAGTCTTTAGGGAGAAGACTTCTAGGTCAAATCTAGTTCAAGCAGCCAAGGGCAATGGCAGTAGCATAAATATGGAGTCTCTCTGACTCCCTTGACCAGCAAACCCCTCAAGGGAAGGTTCGGCACGGGTGGGGGGCGGTTAGTCAGTCTATGGCACTTAGAGAAAGCCTTATCACTCCAGGTGACATGACTTCATTCAGCACACATGCACATGGGTGTACGCAGGCACACACACACATGCATAAATCCAATGGCAACAGCCTGTTCAGGCTGGCCTTGAACTCAGTTCTGTTTCCTGAGCACCCAATGTTCTGAGATTACCAGTATGTGGCCTATGAGGCAGGGAGGATCCAAGTATGTCTTTAAAACCTTTTATTTGGAAAATTCTATACATGTTAAAGTAGGAAAGCAATGTAATCACCTGGCTTCTCCAGTAATTTTGTTCCAACTGTGTCTCTATCCTCATCTCCATATATCATCTGTACATTTTTACTTATTTTTCTTGTTTTCAAAGACAAGGTTTCTCCATGTAGCTTTATCTGTCCTGGAACTCACTCTGTAGACCAGGCTGGCCTCAAGCTCACAGAGCTCCACCTTCCTCTGCCTCTCTGACTGCTGGGAATAAGGCAAACACCACCACTGTCCAGCTACTTGTACATATTTTAGATGTGTCTCTGAAGATAAGAATTCTCACAGCGGGACAAATGACCCCTGTGTTTGCTGGATGCTGGGATGTCTTTCTGGCATTGATGTTGCGTATCTGACTTTCTTGCTGTTCTAAAGCAGATTCCCCCTAGGCCATGGTAGAGACCCATTGTCATTTGTCTTCTGTTGATTTCTTCTTTGCTCCACTTTGACCAGAGTGTGGACTTCATACTGCAATCTTTCCATATTTTTCAAGGATTTTCTATCTCCTTAGGTATCTGTAGTTTTCTTTGCCAGTTTTAGTTTTATGATGGCAGCCTTGCATGACAAGAAGTGCTCCAGAGTCTCCTCCAAGTTTGGAAAAACTGGGATTGTTACTAACTCTTAAAGTGCTCAGGAGAATTCACTGGGAACCGAGATGGGGTTGCACTTTTTACTCTCTGCTAGGATTTTGGTTTCTGATTAATCACTTGTAAATGTATCACAAGCATCTCCTTGTGAATGCATCTCCTGCCCATCCTAAGGCTTACTTTTATGTGGTTTGTGTGTGTGTGTGTGTGTGAGTGTGTGTGTATGTGGTATGTATTTATGTGGTGTCTGTGTGGTGGGTGTTTGAGTGTGTGTGTTTATGTGGTGTGATAATAGTTGCCTGTTTCCATGAACTGCCTTTATTGGAACATTATGCACTTTTTATGTCCAAAGAACAGTCTTACTCAATTTTACTTCTTGAGTAAAGAGTTGCACCTTGCTACTTCTAGGCTTTTCTCCACATCTTTGGCCTGTGCTATCTTGGTTATAGTGAGTTCAGTTGTGGTTCCCTGTGTCTCTGGAGACTCTGAGGTATTCACAACATACTACCATGTGTCTTCATCAGATACCAGGACATTTTAGCCATGAGTCCGTCCTTCAGGTTTGCTCTGACCTTCTCTGCTTCCCCTAGAACTGTGATCAGTTGGGTGCCCCCGCTGTTAGTTGGTAGTTTCTGTAAGTTGCTTAGCTTCTCTTTACCCCTCTCTCTTCTCTTCCTCCTCAGCAGGCTGGTCTCTGCTTTCCTGCTTTGCACTCCCTGCTTCTTACAACAGCTGAAGTCTGCAGCCAGAGTCCTTGCGTCTGCATTCAGCCATATCACTTTCTACCTGCAGTTTCTGTCTCTTTCTTTTCTGTATCCCCTGTGTTGACATTTGGTTCTCTTTATCTGTCATTTTCCTGATTTCCTTTAGTTCTGTGCCCAAAGTTTCCTGCAGCAATTTCAGAATAGTGAAGACTGTTCATTAAGAGTATTTCAACTAAATTGCCCTGTCTGAGCTGTCTCAAGAGATTTTCTGTGGCTTCTTTTCCTGTGACTATCCATACCTTGCTACTTCTTCCTGTGCTTTGGAAATTTTTGTTGACAGTTGAGACGCTTGAATCAACATTCAGTGCCAGTTCACTGGCTAACTCTGTCCAGATAGAAAGTCTGGGGCAGGGGTGAGGGGAGTCCTTTCTGTGCTGGGCTTGGGCAGTGTTTGAATCCTTAGGGTTTTGAGGACAACCACTACAGCAACAGCAAGTGGCGCCCTCTAGTGTTAACATCTTGTGCAGGCCTCAGGTAGTGGGGCTTTTTCTCTACAAGTGTTAGCACTTGGGTAGCTGCAGGTATATGGATTTCTCTGCCCTTGCTAGCAACCATTGGCACAACTTCTGGACAGGCCACAGTAGTAGAATTTCTCAGCCCTTGATAGATTTATTGGAAGTCTTCACAGCTCTCTGGGACTCTTCTGACATCAGGGCCTGTATTTCATCTTCTCCCTTTCCAGCCTTCTGTCCTTCCGCCTCAGCTTTCACCCCTCTTGTCCCTGCTACGATTGCTCTCTGTTTACTGCGTCTTGTCGCTGTGCCTGCCAGCAGAGCTGCTGCCACTCAGGAGAGGTTTGCAACTGCTCTTAGCTGCTGCCACTGTCCTGCAGCTCTGCATCTTCTGCAGCTGTCAGTGCAGCCAGGCACTCTTATGCTTCTGCAGCGGGGCCTGCTAATCGCTCTGCCCCGCCTCTTCTTTGGCTGTGAAGTAGGTAGCTAGCCTGCCACTTCTGTGATGTGATATGTAACCTGCTCAGCTCCGCCCCTTCTCCAGAAACCAGACAACTGGCCACTGGCTAAACCTGCAGCTCAGTGTGCTGGTGCCCACTATAACTGCTGGTGCTGTCCATTGCTTCTGCCCTCACCACCACTGTTTCTGTTGTTGCTTTCTTAACTGTTTCTTCCCCTGTGTTACTGGCTCAGCACACTCCACTTAAAGTAGGCCAAAAGAGAAGTCTTTACTGGGCCTAATGTTAGAAGAGCAGCAGGAAGATGTCCCCAGCTACTCACCAATCAGCAAAATAGCCTGACAGGACAGTCAGAGGGAAGACCTGTGTACTAATCATAGCAAACTTGTCACAGGAATAAGGTTTGGTGTTTCCACCAATCCCAGTGTTGTCTCTTTTGTACCAGTCACAATAATCCTATTGGGCCACCAGGAGAAGTGTTCCTCCTCTGGCCCCGGGGAAAATAGGCTATCTCGAGTTCAACAAGACTTATGATAGCAGAAAGTTGAGCGTCACTTGTTTGAAACAGTCCCGACTGGGCTGTATCTTCAGGAGATAGATAGAGAAAGCAGCTATGGTCTCTGTAGTTTCTTCAGAGTGTCCCTGGAGTGTTCAAAATGGTCAGTGTGAGCATAAGGCTGGAGTGGCTGACTGTTTGACTGACAGCCCTTTTGTTAGGGAAGCCAGAGAGGCAGGGGAGAGTCTAGCACCTACAAAGTAGTGTCAGATTGACCAGTCTACACTTCCTTTATTATTTATAGGAAATGAACATCAGAACGAGCACTTACAATATAAACCTAACTGATGATTGACACTAAGAGTTATCTTAACAGTGTTTACTACCTGCCCAGTGTCCCAGGGATGTGGCTATCCCCTTGTCTCTGTCAATTACTATGGAAATCAGAATTGCATTCTTACAAACAATAGCTGAACAGTGAGAAACTACACAGAAGAGAACATGTGGGTTTACAAGGCCATACTTTTGACTGTTCCTGGTAGAATGCATCCTAAAGCTACAAAGAGATCTTCATTTTAAATTGTCTCCATGGTGTGTTTCTGTGTTTGGAAGGGCATTGCTATTCTGAGGCTGTTTATGGTGCTGTGAAGTTAATCACAATTATGTTGAAGACATTCTGGCATGGTTGGAAGAAGTTGCAGACCAAGAATGGATGGGTTAAGTTAAAACCACATATCTTCCATTGTGATTCAGAAATGTCAGTATAAACTCATGGCGAGTCTGCCAACTGGAAAGTTGAAAATAATGACCACCTAAAGAGAGAAAAACAACTTGAGCACTAAAGTTGTGACCTCTAAATCTTGTTTCCATTGAAAGGCACACATTGTTCCATGTCTGAGGCAGGAGGTGTGTAAGGTGGCCCTGGAACCCCCAAGAACCAAGGAGCAAGAAAGACGTTGAAGCTCATAAACTTCCAAGTAAACCCGAAGGGCCCAGGGGTCAACTTGAGTGTATAGTGATGAAACGTGTTGGTTCAGCTTAGATCCATGGTCCCTAATGATACACTACACTACACACACACACACACACACACACACACACACACACTGAGTTTAGATTCTCGGTTCCTAACGATACACCACACGCACACACACACGCACGCGCGCGCGCACACACACACACACACACACACACACTGAGTTTAGATCCCCGGTTCCTAATGATACACTACACTACACACACACACACACACACACACACACACACTGAGTTTAGATCCCCGGTTCCTAATGATACACTACACTACACACACACACACACACACACACACTGAGTTTAGATCCTCGGTTCCTAATGATACACTACACTACACACACACACACACACACACTGAGTTTAGATCCTCAGTTCCTAATGATACACCACACACGCACGCGCGCGCAGACACACACACACACACACACACACACACATGCTGAGTTTAGATCCTCGGTTCCTAATGATACACCACACACGCGCACACGCACACACACACACACAGAGTTTAGATCCTCGGTTCCTAATGATACATCACACACACGCGCACACACACGCACACACATACACACACACATTAAGCTTAGATCCATGGTCCCTAATGATACACAGCGCTACATTACACTACACACACACACACACACCAAATCAAACCAACTCATTAATTATCATTGCAGAACACTCAAGAACCAACTTTAAACATCACGATAAACATGGGCCAAAGATGATAAAAAACTTATTATTTCAAGAGGGAATTGGGACATTTTTCAGACATTTCTAGTAGAAACTCAAACACTGCAGACCTGTGGGCTGTCAGTAATCCTGAACTATAATTAGAAGTAGATGGGAAAGTTCCTGGTAGCCACGGGTGACAGTTCCATTTCATCAGACAGAATTCCATTACATTTGCATCGCCAAGAGTCAGTTGCACTAATGTCCTTTTCTGTACCTCGGAATGGTTTAAACCGGCATAATGACGATGAAGGGCAAAGTAGCCCGGAAGGGCGCACTAGGAACCGTTGGGAACTAGTATTTCTCACCTGCTTCAAAGTCTTTACAAGTTTTCCTGGTACATTCTCTCTGCTTTGGATCATATTAGCTTCGATTACTCTTGAAGAGGTGTTTTATAAGACTCGGCCTGGTTATCTACTCTGTAGGGCTAATGAATTCGTTTCCTCAGTAAGTTTGAACGTGGAGACTCGTGGATTTAGAATTGTCCCAGCATTTGGGAGGCAGGGGGAGGAGGACTGTGAGTTTGAGGCTGGAATGGGATATGTAGTGAGACCCTATCTGGAGGAGAGAAGAGGGAAGAGGAGGGAAGAGAGGAGGGGGAAAGGAGGGGAGAAGAGAGAAGGAAAGAGAGAAGGAGGGAAGAGGAGTGGAGAGGAAAGGAAAGGGAAAAGAAGGGAAGATTTCATAGCTGTCATACCTTATGCACCTTGACTATATCCTGGGTGACCTGATTCAAAGTTTGGAAAATAGACAAGTGAGGCAAGATGAACATTCTAGAATTTGATACTTTTGAGTGTTCAGTTTTAATAATCATGACAACAGTACTTCAGTAATATTTTTAAAGATGGCTCACAATTCTTCAGAACTACACCCTGAAACATTTAAGGCGTGGCTGTATGAATCCCATTTGTGGCAGAGTATTCCCCATGGAGAACAGTGAAGAACAGCTGGCCTGAGCTGGTTGATTATTGAGAATGGGCGATGAGTACCCAGGGCCTCTTTATCCGCTTCTCTTTTGCACGTGTACAAAATTTTCTACTCCAAAAACTAAACAAAATCAATTTAACATCCTTCTAATCAATATACTCCTTTCCTCAATTTCATTTAATAAGTTCTGGCATGTTCCTATTGAGCGTCTGGAATGCATAGTATACTCGGGTTTAGCTTCTGAAATTTACATCGTAAGTTCCAAAGAAATGCGTGGTAACTTGCTACGGCTTTTCAGAGTTTTCACTTTTGCTATGTAGGGTAACGCGAAGCTGCCATCTTGAGAAACAATCCCATTCTCCTTTAAAACATATAAATATTGTTCGTGTAATTACTTCGTCAAGCCAAAGTTTTTGGAAAACCAAGTCATTTTCCCTCCAAGCCTCGCCAAGTGGGTAATCAATTTGTGTTTGGTTTGCTTCCAGATTACCTTCTTCATGCTGCTTTCTGCGGTGTGTGTGATGCTCAACCTCGCTGGCTCCATCCTCTCCTGCCAGAATGCCCAGCTCGTCAGCTCCCTAGAAGGCTGCCAGCTGGTGAGTAGTGCAAGGCAAACTTTCTGCAAAGGTCAGAGGCACGGATGTTACAGGAAGACATTTAAGGGATAATTGTACTGTGTTCTTCAAGTCTCAAAGATGTGTTAATTCATTAGCTTTTTAGTTTCTTGTTGAATTTCAGTCACATTGATTCACTTCTATGGATTCTCTTCCTTAAAACATACTCTTGTAAATTATCCCCCTCCACACACACTTTTTTGAGGCAGGATCTCACCAAGGTAGCTATGGCTGGCCTGGAATTCATTATGTAGACTGGGATAGCCTCAAAGTTTTGAAAATGTTCCCACATCTGCCTCCCAAGTGATGGGATTACAGACACACCCTTATTACAGTTAGTTTTGGCTCTCTCTCTTTCTCTCTCTTCCTCTTTCTCTTGTGTGTGTATGAGTGTATATTGTGTGCCTCTGTGTGTGTAAGAGTATGTCTGTTGACTATGTCTGTGCATATGTGTGTGCGTGCATGCGTGTACATGTGTGTATGAATATGCATCTTAGTTAGAATTGCTATTGCGTGATGAAACACCATGACTAAAAGTAACTCAGGGAAGAACGAGTTTATTTGGCGGATATATCCTGAATCTCAGTCCACTGAGAGAAGCCAAAGCAGGAACTCAAACAAATCAAGAACCCGGAAGTAGGAGCTGATGCGGAGGTCATAGAGGGCTACTGCTTACTGGTTTGTTCCTCATGGCTTGCTTATCCTGCCTTCTTACAGACTGAGGACCACCAGCCCAGGGGTGGCACCGCCCACAATACTCTGGTCCCTCCAACATCAATCTCTAATTAAGAAAATGCCCTACGGGCTTACCTATAGCCCAATTTTATGGAAGCAATTTCTTTCTTCTATTTTTTTTTTTTTCGAGACAGGGTTTCTCTGTGGCTTTGGAGCCTCTCCTGGAACTAGCTCTGTAGACCAGGCTGGTCTCGAACTCACAGAGATCCGCCTACCTCTGCCTCCCGAGTGCTGGGATTAAAGGCGTGCGCCACCACCGCCCGGCTGGAAGCAATTTCTTAATCGAGGTTTCCTTCTCTCAGATAACTGAGATAATTCTAGCTTGTGTCAATCTGACATAAAAAAAAAATAGCCAGCACAGTGTGTGTGCTTGTGTGTGTTTGGGCTCATGGAGGATAACTGGTACAGCTTCGTTGCTAAAGAACTTGCTGAGATACAGAAACTAACTGTTGGAGCGTAGTCTGAACTGTGTTCTAGGGATCACGGGCTGGATTTTCTCTGCTGTGACATTCACAGCACCATCCTCTGCAGGTGCTGTGTCCCCATGGTTACAAAGAACCCATATAGCCTGGGCTCCACCTTTATCGACAGTGGGGACTTGCCATCCTGCCTCCATAGCTTGGCATCGCCTTGTTCTGAGTACTTCATCCAGCGGACATGGTGTAAGCTAGCCATTTACAGGGCCTTAGGCAATTTTATTTGGGATTCTTATTTTCCTAGGCAAAGCACTGTGGGGGCCTAAGTGTCTGGGGCACGGAGAAGTGGCAGTGCCTGGCAGCCCAGCTAAAAGTGAAGGCTTACACACAGCCTCTGGGGTTGAAGTGCTGTCCCTCCCAAGCCTTCATGTTAATCTGAGACTGCCCCTGTTTCAGAACATCAAACACTGGGAGGAAGAAGAGGAGAGTTGGGTCCCTCTGGTGAGTGAGAGGAGCATCACGTGATGCCCTCTCTGGCAGGTATCTCTGGCTAGATGATGCTGCGGAAGCACCGCCATCTGTCTCACTTAGAGGGGATCCAAAGTGTCCCTCTGCCCAGGCACACAGAAGCCAGTCATCTGGCTTAGGGGCTACGTGCATAATAGCGAGAGCTCTGTCACTGGAGTCATGGTCTTCTGCTAATATGATCTGACTTCGCACTGTGCCTATCTCTCCCCCACTTAACTTCCCTTTCCTATTATATGTGGTGTTCCCACCCCCCATTCTTCATAGGGTATTAAATGACATAGAAATCTATATATGAGAAAAGTAGACCTATTTTTCTCCTGTTGAAATAGAAAACAACAAATCTCATTTACAATTTTATCAATCAGTTTACAGTTTTTTCTCAGACTTTCCCATACACACCACATGTACATATTACAGCTATATCTATATGTAGTGTGATTGCATATGCTCTAATACCCACACGGCTTTGTGATTTGCTTTGCAACTAGTCACGCTTATTATTTCTACAACTAACTGAATTCAGTAAGATTCCAGAGGTAATTCACCAGCACGAAGTCAGGAGCTGTGATGATCTGTATTGTCAATGTCACAAGGCTTAGAATCTCCTTTGCCACAAATTGAAGTTTTTTATCCATGAGTGGTTTTTCTGGATTAGGCTCGTTGAGAAGGGAAGTCCAGTCCTAGATGTGAGTGAACCATTCCATGGGCCAGGGTCACAAGTTGTATTTAAAAAAGGGACTCAACCGAGCATCAGAATTTACCTCTCTCTGCTTTCTGGTTGCTAAGTAACGAGCAGTCTCTGACTTCTACCATCATGCTTCTCCCACCATAATGGACGGCAGCCTCAGACTGTGAGCCAAAATGAGCCCATCCTTCCTTGTCTTTGGTGCACCAATGAGGAAAATGGTGGATGCATGGCCAACATGCATCCAGTATCTACCCTCCCAGAACACTTACATGTATGAACACATGAACAGTTGGACACACTGATCTACTTCTGGGCTTTTTATTCTGTCCCAATTTTGTGTCTGGCCATTTGTTAGTTTCTCTTTCATTTTCTTATTTTTTGAGATAGGGTCTCATTTTGTAGCCCTGGCTGGCTTGAGACTCACTATGTAGACTCACTGGCCTCAAACCCACAGAGACTTGTCTACCTTTACCTCCCAGGTGCTGAGACTTAAAGTATGTATCACATGCTCAGAAAATTACCTTCTTGGTTTTTATAACTGGTTGGAAACCCTGTTCCCATACTTATCACAAACACCTAGTCTGCTTTCTTAACAGCATTAGTGTCTGTTCTTAAATGTTTAGTCTCCAAAATGAACTGTGAAATTTGGGGGAGCCTAGAATCAAAAGAAAGGATTTGAGATTTTAATTGGGATAGATAACATTTGTGTGTAGCCTTGAGAATTGATATTAGATAGTTCCTTGTCTTCCCACTCAAGGACACAGGGTATGTTTTGTGTTATCTGGATGTTCTCCACTAGTTAATTGTGGGGTTTAGCTCTCTTTAGAATAGCTGGTCCATTACCATATGGACACACAGTATTTGTGTCTCTTTTCTATGCATGATTTAAAATCATCTAGTTTTCTCTGCATAAAAAGATCTGTAAGTGAAAGTAATTTTCTTACTCTAAACATCTCGGACACACTCTGTCTTCCAGAAGTAGCATAATAGTTTCTTCTTACCTTTCTAGCCATTAGTTCATTATTGTCATGCGTGGATTTTGTGTGTGTGTTATTATTACATGTGTGGCAGTTTACACATAGGCATAGACAACCATGAACTTGCTGACATTTCCCCATGAATTCTTGGAAAGATTTATTTTGCTGGTAAGCAGAGACCAGTGAAGAATTTCTCTGGACAGGTGTGTGGTGTTTTGGTCACTATCACTTCATGAAGGAGTTTAGTCTTCTGGTCAAATGAAAATGACAGAGAATGTGACTTTTTGCACACAAATGCAAAGCAGGGATGCTTGACACAAGGGAGCTGGCCTAGGTCCTGCAGGCATGGCTGTGCACAAGACAGGAACCTGCAAACAGGCATGGAGAAGATAAACTCAGAACAGTCCCAGGTAATGCATGTTCATGCACTCCAGTTTGATAAAGTGAGCTGAGTTTGCAGGGATACCTATAATCCTATCGCCTTGAGGCTTAGATGGAAGAATCACAAGTTGCCTTGGGCTGCCTACTAAGATTTCATTTCAGAAAACTAAGAGTAGTGCTCTTGCTAATAACCTTAAATCCCTGGGTTGAATATCACAATAGACAGACAGACAGGCAGGCAGACATACACATACACAAATAAATAGCAAAATTTATGAATTTATTTCTAATTGGTCTTCGAAAACAAGGTACCATATAACACTTTTGCCAACAATCTGTGACTGTGCCTAGTTACCCAGCCCCGTGCAAATACCTGTGTGTGTTATTAGAAATGTTATTTGTCAATATCATTTTATAATTTTCATTTGCTTAATAAAACATAAGGTTTACATTTTTTGTCATTTAAATTTTATGTTGTCAGTGTATCATGTTACTTATTCTGTTATATTGTCATTTTTTTTATTAATAAATACTATGTCAAGAAGCCTAGACTTTATTATATATATTGTAATTGTTCTTTTTTTTTTTCTTGAGGTTTGTAATTTACAAGTTGACAATTGCCATGGTGTTATTTTTGGAGGGAAATTTTACGTTATATCCAATTCTTGTCCATCTGCATCCCCTGCTGACTTCCAGATCACGTGGTTTGCCTAGAAAACTTTAAGTTTATGAACAATTTTCTCACTTCTCTAAATTTTAGAGATTTTTCTTAAATATTGGTAAATCTTGTGGGTCTTGGGTTTATTTTTAAATATTTATTAACTTTATGTGTATGCATATGTGCCTGAGGGTGTATATGTGAACCATGTGAACGCAAGAGCTCTTAGAGCCCAGAAGAGGGCATCAGATTCCCTGGAACTGGCGTTATAGACAGTTGCGAGTTGCTGGGTAGGTGCTGGGACCTGAACCAAGTCCCTCTGCAAGAGCAGCAAGTGCTCTTAACCACAGAGCCACCTGTCTATCCTCTGGGTTTATTTTTTTTTTAGTGAACATTACTCCACCTTTAGTAGTGACCTTAAAGAACGCACAGGTGGGCAGCCCCTGGAGACGTCGTGGTGGGTGGCACTCTGGGGACAGCTAGGGCACAATTGTCAGCAGAGAGTACAGAAACACTTTCCCCTAAGGTCTCTTTCCTAAGAACCCTCATAGCAGTTAAAAAACCATTTACAGATTTAAAACAAACATGCTGTTTCAATT